CGGAGCGTAGGTAGACGTGGAGGAGCTCAGGGGCATACCGCTGCCACCGCCGCTATTACCGGTCAGAGGTGGATGAGAACTGCGGGTGTTCATTGGCGGCATGGACGTCTGTTGTTGATGGTGGTGGTGGTGATGATGGTGGTGATGGTGGTGATGGTTGTTGTTGTTGTTGAGATTGGCAGGGTCTATTAAGCAGCCTCGGTCGGAACCATTTCTCTGTTTGTTTCTACGTACAGCAAGAAGATTTTAACCGCTATACTTGGACAATTCGAAGGAGAATATAAAGACGAGACTATCATCGAATAGATCAAATAAAATCAGACGTTGAAGGCAACACGTACCTATGTCGTGGATTATATCTTGTGTTGTGAGGTTTGAAAGTGTTGTGTGGTGTAATTCCATTCATAAAAACACCGGACATATCGAAGTATGCGGGACTGGTTGGTCCCCAAGGCATCATACTAGCGTGATAGAAAGGTTGATGCTGTAAGATAAATAACGATGAAAGATCAAAAAGTTCTTCGGCCTTCAAATCCACAATAGTTTTAATACTCACGTAAACGTGGACTTGGTTCGCGTACGCCTGCATATTTTGCGGCATGGCCGTGCCATTGGTATAAAGGAAACGTTGCTGTCCAGTCGAGTAACTGCTCGGATCGTAGACGGGAGGAGGAGGTGGAGTTCTGTAGCCATTTTTTATACCACCTACACCAGCCACTGCTGGTATCGGTAGCCTATTCATTGGCTTAGCTTTGATTCTTGCCATTATCGGCTTTCCCTGGTACAAACATTGAGATCGAGTCAAATAAGATACATTACGAAAATTGAATACTGCAAGTCAGCTACGTAATTCTAAGTACAATTTAAAGTAAATAGTACATAGAAGTTTTACAGATTTAACTATACATCTTCGATGGTACAAACAACGGATTCGTTAGTTGAAAAATGCACAAACTCGAAGTGTACCGTTTTTCAATAAAGTAACAAGTCGTGTGATTGCGATTTACCTGAAATTCTCGAACCTCTTCGCGTAAAAATCGGTAGGCCTTTTGAGCATCCTCGTCGGATTCAAACGTCACGTACCACGAACTATTGTGAGCAAACTCACACGAAATAAACCTTGGACACCCCTCCCCCGAAAATAAATTCTGCAACCGAGAACAATGTGAATTAGCAGAGTAAATTTATTTCACACATACACACATACATAATTTCTTGTTTGCGACAATCTAAAAACTACTTGTTTGGCACAAACCTTCACATCTTCCAGAGGAGTGTTATCCGGAATCTCGCGAAGTATCACAATACATCGTTTGTGATTGGGCCTTACTTTCTGTCCCTCCTCGTCCACTTGCACATTAGGAGACTCCCTCAGCACTTCGGTTATAAGCTTAATATCTTTCGTCAACTTCTTTACTTGGTTAAAATTCGCTACTGTCCATATCGGCACATATTGATCGTTATCCATTTGTGACAACAAATATGTATCGTTGGCTAAGTTCTCCCTGAAAAGAGTATTGCGACATCGTGTCATTAACATTGCACTTGTATCTTTCAAATGAGCGTCATTTATCGCGCCTTTAAATTGATGTATCATCGTGTATATCGCGCTTAGATATTCGTGAGAATCTTTTGAGAAGTTATTATTAATCTTTACAGAGACACGTGTACGCACGCACGCATCCACACACACACACACACACACACATACACACACACAACAGACACGCGCACCGATGCACAAAACAAGTGTCAAATTATCAGACGTATCGCGCAGCGTCACGGTGTGAATATCTAAACACGATGAATACGCTCCGAACGTGCCTAAACTCGAAGGCGTAAATGACGTTGTACGTATACATACACGCGCTCGTGCAATTTGCATGATGGCCGCGCATTTGCAGTAGATTACATTCAACCAAATCTTTTTCTCATTCACTACTCAATTAGAAGTTGCAACAGTTGCTGTAATGATGCCAAGTTAACAAACAGTACGAACTCTTTGCGCTCGGATCGCTAAAATCATTTATAATACGCTACGGACTGCAGTGACTTGGTCGATACCCTCGTAGGAGGCAAGTGTGGAGTGGTGGAAATGTAAACGTGTTAGCGAGCCGCCACCTTGCAGCTCGACGATTACAGAAAGATGGAGTCGCGCAGCAGATTCAAGGACACAGAGAGTGGCTTGCGATACCTGGAGAAATAATACTCGAGTTGCGAAGAGAGCATCTGTTTGAGTTGTTCCAGGGGTATGCCAGGGACAGATAAATCGGCCATTGATGCGGCTGAAGCGGACGCATCACCCAGAGCAGCAACATCCACTGGACCGTATCCGACAGCACCGCCAATGCTTATGGCGTGTTGCGACGTTGCCTCCAGGCTGCCAACACCTGCATCGAGAATCAACTCACTTCCGCTGGGCGCACCGTTCATGACTCCGTACTCTAAACTAGACACTCCACCGCCGATCGCGCCTGCAACCGGACCCAGAGGCTCAGGGGTGGCTGGGTAGACCGCCCCTGGTGGGAGCTTACCAATGTCCCCATTCATGTACACGTATCCTGAAAAAGGCCAAACGAATGTTTGAGATTATGGCGAATCTGATGGAACATATCATGCATGTGTTATCAAGACAATTGCTTGTTCCACGACATAATCAGGTATTCTGCAAGACCACTGTCTTATAAGGCAGCATGGCTGAGTAATGAGACCGAAGACAACAGAGCTGGTCGACTTGCAGAAGCATCGCTCTTTCTCTCTTTCTCTCTATCTCTTTCTCTCGTTCTATGTTCAATCTCAGACTGTTGTGTATCTGACACAATGATATGTGTGCAGTTATTAAATATTGAACATGGTTTCCCAGAATTTTAACAGTGTGTCTTACTTCAATAACGACTGACTCTCGACTGACTTGGCTGATGTTCAAACACAGCATTATACAAACCAGGTGGTCGTTGTAATGTCGTGAACTCAATTGTGTCGAATAAATGTACAGGATATCGCAACTATTTCACAGTCTGCTCGCTGAATAAACACCAGTCATCCTACAGAATGCCCAACTCGTGGAACAACGACGACTGGGACACGACACCCTGTCTGATCACGATACACGATACGATGTATCGGCACCAGCAGCGACGTTACACTTGCGGTGCCTCAGGTGCAACGTCGGCTGACTCTCGCGAAACACCACAATGACAATGACAATAACGTTTGATGATAAGGCGACCGGCGGGGTCGTCGTCGTCGGGCCCGCGCGCGCGCGTGTGATATTTGATCAGGTTACGCGGCACTTGGTGAGAACAGGCAGGCGCGATCCCGACAGACGCAACGTCGACGGCGTTCGGTCGCGAGGACGACGCACGGATCGGCGCTCACGGCCGACGTGACGACGTTGGCTCGCGCACACGCTGAAACACCCGCGACGGTTCTCGGCGACGGAGCTGCGGACTGCGTGCCACCACGGGGCCCGCTCGGCGAGGCTCGCGGTGCGCCAAGCGAGGATTCTCGCACGGCAGGACGCGCAATATGTTGGAGCGCGCGCGGCACGTTATCGGCCAAATATAGCGCGCGGTCGGGACACGACAGCAGCGACCACCACGGCGAGCCGCTCTCCTCCAGCCGGGCGAGAGCGGCGCGGCGACACGACGACGACGAGGACGACGACGATCGGCTGGCGCGCCGCGGCGCACGCTCGCGCGACCCGCGACACGAGGCGTGAAGGCGTGGAGAAAAGCTCTGCTCTCGCGGAGACAAGGAAGTAGTGGCGCGATGACAAGACACGACTACACTCCGAACTCGATTGCGTGTAATACCGCATGACGATGACAATGTGGCGTGATACGTCGTATGGGACGGATGGTCGTTACCGAAATCACCGTTCATCTTGAGATAGGCCCGGATGATCCCATGTGCCCTGAATATAGCGCTACGAGGTGCCTGCCCGTTCGCTCGCTCGCTCACTCACTCGCTCGCTTGCTCGCTCGGCCGCCCGTTCGCTTACTCACTCTCTCTTTCTGTCTGACTGTCTCCCTCCCCCCTCTTTCTCTCTCTCCCTACATACTATACATATATACATATATATGTATATACGTATCCCCTCTCTCTTTCTCTCTCTCTTGGACGGCTTTTCGTGAAGTTAGTTTTTCGGCTTTAAGCTCTTTCTCGAAAAGACATTCGCTCTATTCGCCCTCTCGCCGCGGTTGACCGTACGCGCGGGGCGTCGAACGTTATTTGCACTTGCAAGTTCGTTCGTTCAGTTGTGTTACGTTCGTTTAGCTGGCGAACTAATTAACCAAAGCCAATCAACCAACCAATCAATTAACTCACCAGCCAATCAACCGACCAACCAATCCACCAACCAACCTACCAATCGGCTAGTAAGCTAACAGTCAGTCAGCTAGCTAGCTAGTCAGCCAGTCGACCAGCTAACCAATCAAACAACTAACCAACTAGCCAACCAACCAACCAAGTAACCTACCAAAGAATCAGGTAGGTAAGCGGACAGGGAGACAAGTAGGTAGGTAGGTAGACACAAGATATAAGACAGACAAATAGGTAGGTGAGTAGTTAGTTAGGTAGGTAGGTAAGTAGGTAGGTAGAAAGGTGGTAGGTAGGCATACAACCAGACAAGCAGGCAGAAAGAGAAAGAGAGAGAGAGAGAGAGAGAGAGAGAGAGACAGGCAGGTAGAGAGGCAGAGACAACCAGCCAGACTTGGTCACTGGGCTGATCGCTCATACGACCGTTTGTTCGTTCGTTCGTTCGTTTGTTCGTTCGTTCGTTCGTTCGCTCGTTCGCTCGCTCACTCGTTAACTCGCACGTTCGCACGCACACGTCGCGTGCGTGCTACGAAATACGCGACACAGCACGACAGGCGGCAGCGAGATTGCACGAAACCTCGCACGAATCCGCGACGTACGCGTAACGACCCGCTCGCGTGTAATACGAGCCACCACGCCGAGCGGATCGACGCACGACCGTTTCACACGACGGGATTTTCTTACCGAGGTGGAAGAATCGAACTCAACACAATCTCTCGAGGAAACTACAAAATGGCCGACGCGGAAAGGCACATGCCGTGGCGCGCGGTGCATTCTGGGACCGGTGGTGCGCTGTGCAACCCATTCATTGTAGCGCCCCGTATCGGCCAGCAACACGAGCGCCGCTGCGCGCCACTTTTGTAATTCAGTTCGTGGCGTTAGAAAAAAAAACGGTAAATGACGAAATCGCAAAAAATCTCGGTTTTTGCTCAAATGTTTGACAAAAGAACGGAGTATAAGCGACAATCTTGCTATTCCCATCCTTTTCTGACGGTTCTTCTTTTTGTTGGAGATTTTGTTAACAAATTATGCATTCAATTAGGGATTCCACCTCTCGTTCACATTTTGAAAGAAAAAATAAAAAGATAAGAAACAATAAAAATTCAATTTTTTTATCTTCCATGTTTATCTTTTCTTTTTCTTTCACTGTTAACTTATCTATTTTTTTTAAATAGAAATCTCTTTTTCCTATAAGTCAATCGTCAGCAGTGTTAAGTGTTCATTTTCTTTAAAAACCTCACATCTACTTTTGAAATTTTACATGCTTCATGAAATGCTTCATAAATTCTTAAATGAATTGTAAAGTGCTTGTCACTTATACATGGAATTGAAACGGAAAAAAAACATTTTCTTGTGTAACTGTCAGCGTTGTAGATTTTATTTTCCGCTATCCTGACTCCTTGTGGCGTGTTAATTCGGTGTAATTGCAATTCCACGAAGCGTGATCGCACTGGAAACGAAATCAATAAACAACGATAGCATATCTAACGATTTTTTGCTTGATGAAATACATCTTGCATTTAACGAGCACGTGTACGTTCGCAATCGGTCGCAGCAGTAGATATCTGCTACGATATATCTACGAATCCCACAATTTCAATTGTGCTATTGTTTCTGCACTATCTTATACGAACACGAGGAAATTACATTTAATTGTACACTGATAAAACTGCAAGTTCTTTCTCTTTGTTATAAAAATAATAATACAATATATCAACCGTTCCATTTTTAAAACACTCCTTAATCAATAAGCGATTTTTTGCGATTGTTTGGTACATGTACCAGGTCGTTATTGGGCAAGTTTACATCAAACATTTTATATATGTATTATAAATATTCATACAACATAAATATCCAAAATATCTTCCAGAGATATCCAGATATCTCTGCGACGTCTCTAGAATTATATTTTGGATATTTATACTGTACAGATATTAAATGTTTGATGTAAATTAGGCCAATGACAACCAAGTACATGTGCCAAACGATCGCCTAATATGGTGAGGGTGATTTAACTTGATTTAGTTAGGTTACAAAAGAGGAAGAGAATGTATGGTCAAGTTCTCAGTGAAACATCTTTTTGTATTCGTGTATTAATTTATTTATTTATCTAAAGGTCATATTTCCATTAGCTCTCATTATCATCTCAAAACAATTCTTCGTTACTGCTTTAAAAAGGGAAAAAGCAAGAAAGAGCAGAGACGAGGTACCAAGGATAGGTGAAAGAAGAGGAGATTCTCTCTAACATTAAATCCATTCTACAATCAAGAAAACAACAAAAATGAGTCACAAAACGAATTTTCTTTCCAACAAAAAAAAATAACAAGATAGAGAAAGGAGATTTCGTATCGTTATCACTATAAAGGAATGGAGAATGGACGAGCGAGCGAGCAAACGAGCGCGAGACAAAGAAGTGAAAACGAGAGGGAGAAAAGGATAAGGAACGAGAAAAAGTCGGATTCAATTGGGAACCTATAGTTACGCCTTGCTGCCTTCTCGGAACACGTCTATCGCGTCCAGGTACATACTACCTAACACAAAAACAAACATCCATCCGGCGCTGCTAATTACCGCTCGCTCGTCTATGCCTCCTCCTCGATGATGATTATCAAAATGATGTGTCTTGTTACTGCTACCGGTACTGCTACTACTGCTGTTGCTGAGGTTACACCTCAGTAATTATTAACACCTAACATAAGGCTTACAGAGTGTTTCTGTATGCGTGTACGTACGTGTCGCGTGTGAGTGTATGTGTGTATATATGTGTGACGTATTGCTTTTCTTGAGAAAAGATCCAATTAGTGATGTATTGCCTGTGTCGATTTGCTTGTAATCCTTTCTCTCTCTTCGCTGTATCTTCTTCCTTTTTTCCCTTTTTTCTCTTTTTATTTACTTTTATTCTCTACTACTTACTTCTCTTTCTCTGTTCGTTTCGCACGCGTCTTCCTTCCTTTTTTCTTGGAATATATGTGTGTATATATATATAAATATACATATATACATATATGCACGCCTATATGTATATATATATGTATATATTTGTATATATATTTTTTATATTTAATAGTATAAACGGAGTGTCCGACGAGGAATTAGTGACTGTTATAAAGGTTCAATTTGAGAGGATGATAAAGCGCTGACAAGGGGCGGAGCTGTCCGTTGTTGTTGTTGCTGCTGTTGTTCTTGTAGGTAGTGGCATGGATGATGACTATTGTTGCTGGCTTGTAGATTAAAAACCATGAACCTTCAGCTGGTCGGGTTTCGCCAGACCTGATTTTGTCAGCCACTGGCATATATTCTCTCGCTGGTCCCCCTGCAGCTGCAGCACCTCCCCGTACTCCGGGTGCTCTATTACTGTCCCATTGCACGCAAACTCCTGTAGATACATCATGTGCTGATAAATCATGGCATCCTAATGATCGTCATATCTTTTTGATGACTCATTTGTAAGAAATGTACATATCTCTATTTTCCAAGTAAGCTCAAAACAAAGTGAAAGATTCCTAAAAGAGTTTTTAATGCAAACTCTTATAGATACATCATGGGTTGATAAATTATGGTATTCTAATGACTGTCATATCTTTGTGATAACTCATTTGTAAGAAATCTCATTTGTAACAGATCTCTATTTTTCAAGAAAGTTCAAGACAAATTCTTAGCAAAGATTTTTAGCAGAATTTCCCAAGATTCATGAATAAAAAATGCATTTATGGCAACAATTATAGTTTATAAATAGTTGTAATTTTGCAGTTTTGAGGTTAAAGTTTTCAAAGGTAGTAAAATTAACTTTAATTTTTTATAAGCTAATAATTTACAATTGTTTCTTCAGAAATTTTTACAGTTTATCATAATTATGTAAAAACTGATATACAAAAAATCTTATAAAATAAAAAAATGATTTCTAGAACATACAATAACAAAATGCTTTTCATTATTCAACTTATAAAACATATAAATGAGAAATTGACATTAAAGAAGGAACCTGAAACATTAAGAACATTGTCCAGTATCAAGATTTAATTAAAGACAATGTAACTATAAAAAATTAATATAAAATAATAAAGACTTCTATTTTAAACAAAGCATATTTCATCTGTATCAAACCACTTGTAGATATATTCACACTGTACTTGCAGAAGACTTGTAAAACTACAGCTGCTCAGCATGCATCATATAGTTGTTTGCATCAGACTTATTTTTAGAGTTCTGCCTGACTGACTGATGGTGGGAGGTGATGGGGAAAGGGGAGTAGGAGAGAGAACAGCAGGTGGAGGGGTAGGAAGAAGGGGAAGAGGAGGAGAAAGAGGTAATGCAAGTAGTGAGGACAGATGGAAGAGAAGGGATTGACGGAAATCCCCGATCGCGCGAGAAAAGGTGCTCACCTTTTTACATGCTCTCACGATTTTCTTCAAGTCATATTCAGAGGAGAGTCCTTGCACCGTTGTTAAGGTCTTGCGACCATTCCGCTGCTGGATCCTTATATGCACAAGGCCGTCCTGGACGTCATCGTCTGAACCCTTGATTGCATCTGCAAAGGGGTCTGCGGGCAAGAAAAACGGAATGCTATCATCGTTCTTGAATTGCGCATAATTACGCAAGAAGAGCCATGCGAGCGAAAGACGGTTACGACCGCCATTTTGATCGTAAGACAACGGTACCGTGCCGTCGTCGTCCTCGTTTACGAAAAATGAGAGGACAAATAGACAGGAAAACGGATGAGGAAAGATGAGAGACGGTCA